CAGCGACAGGCTCAGGCCGCAGGGCTCACCCTGAACGGCAGGAATGTCCCAGGAACCACAGCACAGAAGAGCAGGATGATCCCCTCAGCAGTGATGATGCGGTTCTTGGTGCCCTCCCCCATGTCCAGGAAGGGTCTAGGGAGCGGGTCTGTGAGGAGGAGAGGCTGCTCAGAGCCCTGGCCTCCCAACCCTAACCCTGAGCAAGACCCGCATCCCCAGGGAAGCCCCTTCTCTGCAGGGGAGACTGTCAGTCACCACATCTGAGCCAGTTCCCAGCCCAGGAAGCCTCCGGCTCTGTCCTCACAGATGAGGAAACCAAGTGTCCCCAGCTGGGACAGGGGACCTGGGCAGGGCACAGGCCACTCACCACGCACACGGAGGTAGGTGCCACAGGACTTGTGGATGGCACCTTTGTCTTCCACACGACACTGGTATAGGCCTCTGTGGCTCTTGTTCACCTTGGAGATGATCCACTCGCCCTCGGGGCCGTGGCCCAAGCCCAGGAACACGGGGGGCAACGTGGTGTAGTTGCCGTGGAGGATGTGCCACCAAGTGACGTTGGGGTTGCTGCCATTGTGCGGGCATGAGAGGCGGGCCTCGTCCCCATTGTGCGCTATCACTGAAGGCGGGCCCTTGTCCACCCACAGGGCCTGGCTCCCTGGGCCTGCAGAGAGGAGGGGTGGGTCAGAGGCAGGACAGCGCCAGGCTCCCAGCCCTGGCCAGGGCAGCTCTAGGACGGGGAGTGAGGGGAGGATGTCCCCGGTCCCTGACTGGGGCCACACACTTTATGGGGGATGAAGACAAGTCACCCCTGGGGAGGGGTGAAGAGGTACTCCAGGGAAGGGGTGGTGAGAGAGGAGAGCATGGGGGAGTGCAGAAGACGCTGACTGGGCTGGCCAGGCACCTCTGGGGCCTCTGGGTGCCTCTCCAGCGCCCTCTGCTGTCCCCTTCCTTTTGCTACAGCTTTGGCCCCAGCGAACTCTCTGGCCTTTGGGTGTTTGGTTCCCTGGTGCTAGAAGTGCCCCTGGCTAGACAGCTCTATCCAGAATCAGTGTAGGCGGCACCTCCTCCTGAAGGCCTTCCTGGTCTACCCCGCCCCCACCCCTACCCCTGCATCTGGCACTTTGTCTTGTGTAGTCACCACAAACCCTTAGAAACAGGTTCTCTCCCCATCTCCTCCTGCACCAATCCCTAGAGGATGGAGAAGGGATTGGGTTTCCTTGTTATTGCCATTTTACAGGTGAAACAGCTGAGGCCCAGTGAGGGCAGTCCGGAGTGGTGCTGGGGTTCAAACTTCCGGCTCCTGGGGCCCCTCCCTGCCTGGGACTGAGAAGCCAATCTTCGGGACCCTCCTCGGCCTGTGACCTGGGCGTTTCTCATTCTCTAACTTGTATATGTCAACCTGGTGGTGGGAGGAGTTCAGTTCTTGGGCTGGAAGGGGGCTCAGCAGAGTAGAGACGGGTGTCTCAGGGAGACAGGTGGCCAGGCTGCTGCAGCGTCCACTTGGGGCTCCCCAGGCCAGCCCACACGGCCCCTCCCTCTATGGGAGGCAGAAGGAATGGGGGTTGAGAGAAGGGGGAGGAGGGGAGGAGGTTGAGCAGCCTCATGGTCATGGGCTTGGGACTCAGACTCCAGCCCCTGCTCCTTGCGCCCTCTGAAGTGAGTGACCTTCCTCTCTGAACTCCCCTGTCAGTGTGGTCTCAGCCCTGCCAGCTGGCCTTGGCCGCCTTGGGCTGGGGAGGGGAGGGGTCATATAGGTGACCCCTTCCAGCACTGAGAAGGGGCTCTGCACAGGGGGCGGCTGAGATTTAAGGCCGAGAGGAAGAAAGCCCTTTTCCCCCTCTGACCCTGACTTCAAGTCCCCTTCCGGTCCCCAGCTCCAGTGCTCAGTCAAGAGTGACTTCAGTTCCTTATTTTGACCAGCGGGGACGAGGGGGTGGGGAAGGTATCTCACCCCTGCCTCCTTCCATGGGGCAATAGGTGCCCTCTAACCCCGCAGAGCACCCTCCAGCCTCCTTTGGCTCTCAGCTTACGATGGTTGAAGCAGGTCAAACCGCAGACTTCTGCAGCGGCCTTCCCCAGCTCGCCTCCTGACTCTTCTCCCCACCCCGCTCCCTGGCACCCTGCCCTCTGCCCATGGCCCTCCCAGTCCCCCACCCCTCCGTCCCCAGCACCGCCACCCCCTTGGCTACGAACCCAGGCACGCCATGGACAGCAAGAAGAGGAAGATGGTGGCCGGTGGAGCTGGAAGGACTCCTGGACCCCCAGACATCTTCTAGTGGGTGGCTTAGTCCAGGTCGGGGCGCAGAGTCCTGGGGTACCAGATTCCACTCCAAACCCCGCCCCACTTCCTGCCCAGCCCTGCGGAGATGGGCTTCACTGGCCCTGCGGCTGTGGGGCCTGGGGGTGTGCTGCAGGCCGTGAGCGAGAGGAACTGCTCCCTGCACCTGGGGTGGCCACAGTTCCCCTGAGGGGAGGCTGCTTGGGTGGGGGAAGAGGCCGGCCAGGCCCCGGTGAGTCTTGGGAAAGAAGTCTGGGCGCCAGGACCCCAGGGTTCCGGGCCTGCTGTCTGGTCGGTATGCTGGTTCCAAGCTTAGCTCCTGCTCCTTGCCACCCACAGGGCAAACCTGTGCCCGCGCTGAGCCTCCGTTTCCTCTGTTCTCAGGGTTGGAAGCGAGGATTTAAAGGCATTTTGCACACACAGCGCTGAGCACAGGGCCTGTCCAGAGAAGGTACTCACGAGGGCCAATGTGGGTCCCTGCCAGTGCTCATGATGGACAGGGCAGGCCAACCCGTGGCTGCTCGGGAGACTAGACGATCAGATCTTCTCCTGGCACTGAGATAGGAGATGGTGTTTCTGGCACCCAAGAAGTGAGAGCCATGGCCAGCTCTTGGGGTGTTTTTCATATTTGCCTCGCGCAGCTGGGGAAGGTAGGCCATCCTCCATTTCACAGAGGAAACCGAGCAAAGGTGGGTATTGGTTGTCACTTTCCTGGTGACATAGCCTGGGAGTGGTGGAATAAGGTTTTTTTTTGTTTGTTTTTTAATTAGTGGAGGGCACATCAGAGACAGGTGGTATAGGGTGGTAAGCAACCCATGATGGGGTGTGGTCAGGCCACAATCTTCTCTATTTCTCCAGCCACACACACATCCACACCTGGAGTGGTTTTCAAGCCACTGTGGCCAAGACTGGAACCAGGGTCGGCCCTGTGGAATCCTGCTCCCTTGACCACTAAGTTATAGGGCCAGCCCTGGAGCAGGGATTTAAAGTCACTTGTGTGTGACTCTCTGATTCCTTTGAGGATGTCATTTTAGGCCAGGGAGGAGGGAAATGAAGCTGCTTGGGGAGGGTTGGGTTGTAGCGAGATTTGTGAGCAGTTAGGGGACCCTCACACGTACACAAAGAGACATGAAAAAAAGAAACCACTGCAGGGAGATTTGTGGTAGCAACAATTGAGAAACAAAAAAGGTCATTGATGGGACCAGCAGTTGGATAATGGCTATGTCGCTGGACTCCCATATAGTCGACTGTGGTTCGAGTCCCAGACCCAGTGACTTAAACCCATGCCAGGCACATGTGCATGCATGCCCAAGATCCCAAGAGGAGAATGGAGAAAAGATTTCGGGGTGGCCATCCCCCCTGGGGGGTGATTTCTCACTTTCTGTCTCTTTGTCTCTTTCTGTCTTTCTGGTGAGTGCACACGCCCTATAGCAAAAAACCTCTCAAAAGAAATAAAAAAAAGAGGTCATTGGGAACCAGCAGTTAGCGTAATGCTATGTCACTGGATTCCCACGTAGTCGACCGGGGTTTGTGTCCCGGACCCGGTGGCTTAAAACTCACGCCGGGCGCGTGTGCGTGCGTGCCCAAGATCCCGAGAGGAGAATGGAGGAGAAGGGATTGCGGCGTGACCATCCCCCCTGGGGGGTGATTTCTCGCTTTCTGTCTCTCTGTCTCTCTCTGTCTGTCTGGCGAGCACACGCGCCCTACAGTGAAAATCTCTCAAAAAAAAAAAAAGAAAAAAAAAATCCTTCCATTGACAGAATGGCTGCAGGAATGGCGGCCCCGTCAGCAGCAGAACACCGTAGAGCACAGAGCAGGGGAAGGGTCGGTGTGGCTGCACCGCAGAAACACGAGAATGAGAAAACCATGGAGTGCTTCCAGGTGTTTTCAAAGGGGAAGACAGCACACCACCTATGGACACCCACTGGCAGCCGAGGTGCAGGGACTGACACATCCGATTCCTGAGGAGGGTATCTCTGAGGACAGAGGGGAGTTGTCACTGGACAGGGCACACAGAGGGCTTCGCTAGTCTAAGTTTCCTTTTTTTTTTTCCTTCAGGTTTTTTGCCATAGGGTGTGTGTGTGCTCTCCAGAGATAGAAAGTGAGAAATCACTTTTCTTTTTTCCTTTTTTTGAGAGGTTTTTGCTATAGGGCGCATGTGCTCGCCAGAAAGACAGAGAGAGACAGAGACAGAAAGCGAGAAATCACCCCCCAGAGGGGATGGTCACAATGCAATCCCTTCTCCTCCATTCTCCTCAGGACCTTGGGGGCGCACACACATACACACACACACCTGATGGGAGTTTAAGCCACTGGGTCTGGGACTCAAACTGTGGTTGACTACATGGGAGTCCAGCGACATAGCCATTATGCCAACTGCTGGTCCCGCCCGGCATGATTTTCAAGCCACCGTGTCCAGGATTTGAATTGTGGTCAAGTGGGAATCCAGCTCCTTAACCACCATGCCACCTGCAGGTCCCTTTTTGTTTTTGCCAAAAGCGTGTGCACTCAGAGAGTCAGTGAGACAGGAAGAAAGCACACCCCATGGGGCATGGCTGTGCTGCAATTCCTTCTGTTTTTTAATCCTGTAGGGATTTTGGGCATGTACACATATGTGCCTGGTGTAGTTTCTTCTTTTTTTCTTTATTTTTTTTATGTTTTTGGTCATAGGGTGTGGACACTTGCTGGAGAGAGACAGAGACAGGGAAAGTGAGAAATCACCCCTCAGGGGGCATGACCGTACTGAAATCCCTTCTCTTTCATTCTGCTCTCAGGATTTCGGGCACATGTGCACATGTACCTGGAGTGTTTCAAGCAACCAGGTCTGGGACTTGAACTGTAGTTGGCCATGTGGGAGTCCAGTGCCTTAACCACCACGTGCTGGCTCCTTCCTTTTTTTTTTTTTTTTTTTAAGAATTATTTTATTTGTATTTGTTGTCATTATTTTATTTTATTTTTTTTGAAGTTGACCAGGGAGAGACAAAGAGAAGGAAAGTGAAAAAGCAAGCTGTCAGGTCCAGGACTTGAACTACAGTCAGCCACGTGGAAGTCCAGTCTCCTTAACCACCATGCCACCTGTTGCCCCCATCCCGGGTGTAGTTTTCAGAGACTCAAGTTGTAGTTGGGCCCTGTAGACCCTTAACCATTAGACTACAGGTTTGGCCTGTGTTGCACTTTTTGAAAAGTGCAGCTGTCACTCATACACAAGAGCTTGGGTCTGTAGTCTGAGATTCCTGGGTTTGCATCTCAGCTCTGCTAAGTGACTGGTCCAACCAGCCTGTTTCTAACATGGGCACAATCCTCAGCTTTTGAGGCTTTAAGAATATCCTGGTGCACTTAGCGCAGTTCTGAGAACACAGTGCCCCTTCTCTGGTCCTGGCACCCTCCCTGCTCCCTTCCAGGGGTCCTGGTATTCTGTTGGCCCCTATTAACCCTCTTGTACTTCAGCTCCTCCTGGGTCCACACGTGGAAACTCAAACTCTAGGAATTCACCTTCGTCCTTCAACATCCTTCAGCAGCTGTGGTGGTTTCCAGGCTCTCGACTGCCCCCCCGTGGCTGGATTGAGGACCCATTCAGGGGCTAAGGCAGCCCTTGGCACATCCATCTCAGTGCCTGGCGCAATGTGAACCCCAACAGATGTTTGGCATTGAGTTCTCATGGCAACTCTGGAGAATCTAATAGACGTAAGAGGAAATGGGACCCAGGATGGAGAACATGACCCTTTAAACCTCACTTCTGAGGGGTCTGCAGTTGGGCTGAACTGATGGCTTTGCCACCCTTTGCCTTGGGACATCCAGTATACTGCCCAACCTGTGACTTGCCTTCTTGTCTCCAATGTGGACACCCACCCGAGTGCCAGTGTACACAATACATGAGAAGGGCCCGTGGTAGTGTCTGGCTGGGGTAGGCTCTGAGTGTTCAAGTGTAAATCTTTCAGCACCACTGAGTTCTGCAGGAGGGATGCAACCTCAACGATGCATCCCCAACGGATGGAGGACCCCCAGCCTTGATACTTCCCATTCTGACCATCTGGATCTTAAATTTGGGCAACACCAATCTGTCTACCAGGGCCAGTCAGGAGTCAGCAATGTTAAGATAGGGCTAAGTTGCACAGGGCCACAGAACCAAGGGCAGGCACAGTTGAATTGGCCTTCAAAGCCCAGGCTTGCCATTAGAAATGGGTCACACTGGAAAAATGTGGGTGGGGGAAATCCTGGGGACCTTGGCCAAGCCTATTTAGGCTGAGCTGTCTCCTAGAACTGGGAGGTATCTGGTCACACCACCAACTAGTTCTAGTGCTCAGGCATGTGCAAGTATCAGAACCATCTGGACCTTGCACTCCAGCCAAGGACCCAAGCTAAGACACCCCCCCTCCCCCCATGAACCAACTGCCTCAGGAGGACCATGGTGCCCCCCTCCTTGTGCGGGGACTATGGGAGTTCAAGTTCAAGGAAGCTCCTCAGGGCTCAACTCTCCCTCCCTCCCTGAACCTGACCCCTCAGATGCAGAAAATCAGGTGAGCTGCCAGCATGCAAGCAGCACAGCACAGGTCACTTACTAGCTGGGAAGCCACCACTTGCAGTGGGGGTCCTCCCCTCCGCCTCCCTCCAGGGAGGGTGCTTGAATACTAAAGAGTCACATCTTTAGTTTCTCATTTTCTGAGAATTGGGGAGGGGACAAAGGCCCCAAGATCCTGCCCCACCCACTCAACCCTGCTGGATCACAGGAAAACGTGGCCTGCAGCCCCCCTGAGCCCTGGTTAACAAGTGATGGGAAATGCTCCTTAGGCACCAAACAGCATCCAATTAAGAGACCCAGACCAGGATTACGAATGAGGCAATTTATTAACCCAGCATCATCTGTCCTAATGCTTCTTGTTGGCAGCTGCCACCTGTGGGAAAAGAGGGAAAGGGGAGAGTAGATCAGAAGTGGGGTCTCTGCAGGGCACAGGTGCTCTGCAACCTGCCGTGTGGTCCCAAATGTGTTCATCCCAGGTATCTAATCCTTATGACCCTGCGTGGGGAGGTCTTGTGAGGGAAGGGACCAATGGAGCACAACTCCACTTTGTCCTGAAGAGCTCA